GACAGCAGCACTGTGAATGAAACTAGGACAGAAGAAAGAAGGCTACTGCAGCACTTCACAGGGGAAAGGAGACCAAGGAAAGAGCAAAGAGGGCAGGGGAGGAAGGATGAAATGCATTTAATCCAGGCAGGACTTGTGAATAATCAGATGTGACTCCAAACACATGAATGCACGCTCAGGCGCGTGCGCGCACGCACACACACGCACATACACACACACCCTTGAACCACAGGTTTCACAAATAATACTTACAGTCATTATGCACTATTTATTCTGATATTGTCTTTTGTTCTATTATTTTCATTAAAAAAATGGACATAACTAAACTGATTTCAAGATATGCTGATGAAATAGAATGTAAGGTGGAAAAATAAAACTCAACCATTCTAATAAAGACAAAAAAACTATATGTATTTATAGACAATGAAAAATTGAAAGAAAAAAGAATGCTAGTCAGTTACTGAACAAAAGCTGGTATAGCTATATTAATAGCAGATGAAATACATTATAAGGCAAAAAACATTATTAGAGATAAATAAGGTCCATATAACGATGAAAGGATACTCCAGCGGAAGACATAACCACTCTAAATTAATATAGGCTTAGTAACAATTGCCTCAAAATGTTTTAAGCTAAAATAGAAATTGTGATATTAAAGATCCAAAATCATAGTGTGAAATTTTGATGTAACTCTTCAATTATTGATAAATTAAGAAGGTAAAAAATTCGTACAGATATAAAAGATTTGAACAGCGTATTATAACAAGCTTGATCTAGTGTACGGATATAAAACTCTCATCCATCATTGAAGAATCCACACTCATCTCTCGTGCACACAGACCATTTAAAGTACATGAACCAGGCTCCAAAGCAGATGTCAAACACTGAACACCTGATATGTTGTCCTCAGCTTCAAAATATTAGCTAAAAAAAAAATCAGCGTGCCAAATAACCAACTAAAGAAATTAGATAAGAAAAAAGAGGATGCTGGTTTGACAGAAAGTTCATGGGGGGGGGGGGAGAGGAAAAAGCCCAATGCATAAATTAAATTTGTAAAGCATAGTTGTTTTTTGCCATTGTAGTATTTCTACGTATTTTGTTTATTAATTCACTTACTCATTTCAGTCAAGAAAAATATACTGACCATTGATTCAGAGATGAAATTGTTTCTAAAAGCTCACTATCTATTCAGTCAACAACTATTTAAACTCTTACTTACTATGGCAAGGCAATTTTCTAGGTGATGACGTGGATGGGGAATATTTATTAGACAATAAGAGAGATGAGTATGTAAATGATACAAAGTATAGAGTAACAAATTGCATCTATTTCTCCATTCAGAGAAGGGGGAGATTAATTCTGACTGGTGATGAGGTGAGGGATTAGGGAGGAAGGGACCTTGAAATTAAGGCTTGAATATGCACAGGGAGGAAGAAAAGGCAGGGCAACGGAGTGCCAAGTGTGTCTAATCCAAACAGTGGATGGTTCTAGTTAGAACACAGACCAAAGCAGAAGAGAAGGCCGCAGAAGTGGTGGAGGCAAACAGTGGGAGGCTCTGAAAACGATGGTGAAAGCTGAAACTTTATTCTATGCGTGGCAGGTGGGAGGTATGAGGGCTGTCACTGAAGTTTTTTTGTTTTGTTTTAGCAGAAGTAGTGATGAGAATTAGGCTCCAAGAAAACTGGTGAGGAAATTATTTCCATGGACAAAGCAGGGGCCGAGAAGGCCTGAGCCGGCACAGTGACTGTAAGGACAGAGAGGCCTAGAAAGACGAGGGACATACAGCACAGCCGAGTTGTGAACTGGCAGCTGGATGGGGAGCAATAATAGAGCTGAGGGCGAGTCGGGTTTCTCAGTGACAAGGTGGTTGGGTTGTTATGAACAGAAGTAGAGAATGCAGGGTATAGCGTAAGCTGGGATGGAAAATGTTTATTGCCTTTACAAACAGCTAGTGTAGCCTACAGGGCTACGTGAGAAACACGGCCCTAAGATTACCGGAAAGCAATTCTTTTCATAAGATATGATTTTAAACTTATCTGCCATTCAACTTCATTGACCCCTTGGTCACTATAATCCTTCCTTTTTTCTGTCTCCCTTTTGTTCCTCCTAACTTCACTTCCTTCCAGCACGCTAAACAACTCCAGGGTACACCAGACACAGTGCACAGGGTGTGCTAACCCCGCAGAACCTCCTGCTATCGTGCGTCATGGGCACCCTGCCTCCTTCCCTACCCCTCGTAAATCCATGGGGCATGGTTTCAACTCCCCTTTAACTTTAACCACCATTAAAGTTTGAAATCATAGAGAAACCAGATATATTCTTAAGCCTGGCATGGGTTACCAGCAGAGTGGCCCAACGTCTTTCATTGGTAACTTTCTGAAAATAAACTTAAAATGCATCTATTTGGAATACAAAAGCAGAGTGACAACTTAAGTATTATGGATAAGTGTCCATGTCCCCTCGACTCCCCAAATTCTCACGCTGAAATCATAACCTCAGTATGATAGTATTACGATAGTATTAGGAGGTGGAGGCTTTGGGAGATGATTCAGTCACGAGGATGGAATCCTCATGAAGGGGACTGTGCCCTTATAAAAGAGACCCTAGAGAGCTCTCTCCTCCTGCCATGTGTGGCAAAATCTTCCATTTTGTGTGTGTGTGTGTGTTTAAACAACTCTTTAAAAAGCAAAAAATACTCTTAGCTCAAGGGTCATACAAAAACAACGTGGCCGGTGGTTTGTTATCTGCTTACATCCTGCTCAAGAAAAAGGTCCTCCTCATTCTGTCATATGTTGGCTCTGCAGTCTAACAGCTGGCTCCCCAGCAGCTCTTCCTGAAAATAACCTGCCAGTCAAAAGTTCTACCCAGGGACATCTGAAGACCGGGAAGCAGGCACTCACCTGCTGCTCACTCACCAGCCAAGCTGGGACCCTGATCTCAGACTCCTGGCCTTTAGAGCTATGAGCAAAAAATGTCTTTTGCTTATAAGTCTCCCAGTCTGCAGTACTTTGCTGTAGTAGACCTGAAGTAGGACACTAGGTTTCTTCCCATTTCAATGATTCTCTGGATTTCAGTACTCTTTATTCTTTCAACTTATTCAGTGCAGTAAAACAGACATTTATTACATATACAGCTTAATAGACCACATATTCTGACCACAATGCAATTAGACATAAATATGAAAGGACAACCAAAAAACACCCCTCAGAGGTTAAAGAAGAAGTCGTAATGGAAAAAAATTTTAACTTAATTAAATGTATTTGGAAACTTTTAACATTAAATACTGTCTGTTTGAATAGAAGGCTAAAGATCAATGAGCTGAAGAACGAAGTTAAGGACTCATCTTGCCTGACTTCCCTTATTATAAAGCTACAGCTATCGAGAAGATTGGTGACAGACAGAAACATAGATCAATGGAACAGAATAGCCCAGAAGTAGACCCACACACATAAGGTCAACTGATTTTTGACAAAGATACAAAGGCAATTCAACAGAGAAAGGACAGCCTTTTCACCCATGTAGCCACCACCAAGATTAAGATATAAAACATGAATATCTTTTAATTATTAAATGTATTTGTTCTTATAAGCACTTCGGTTTTGCTTTAGGAATGCCACATGCCATATCCCCTTGTGAAGAATTCAGATTATAAGTTTCAGTGAACCTTGGGAGCTGTACTCAAAGATCATTTAATTTTTTTCCTAGTTGTATGACTTTTGGTACGTCAGTTAATTTCTTGTTTACCCTTATTTTTCTTTAAGGTCTCCTCTCCCCCTTTTCGCTAAGATTTTTGTGAGAATGCAACATGAAAGTGTAAATAAAGAGTATGGTCAGGAAAGAAATTTTAGGGGTTAATAGAAATGTTCTGTATTTTGTGGTGTTGGTGGGTTCACAGGTATAAATATTTGTCAAAATTCATCAGTTGTGTACTTTGAATGTAGTTTATCATAAATTATATCTCAGTAATCAATTAAAAAATTTTAAATAATAACATTTCTCACCTACCAGGTGCTGCTATAATTGTTAATTTGTTCTTCTATCCCCTCTCTTGTACACTTAAGAGGAAAAATACCGAGACTCACTATTCCCTCTGTGAAAACTTCGAAAACCTTCCTGAAATAATTATAACATTCTCTGCTTCTCCTCCAGACTGAATCCCTGTATCTTTCACTTTTCCTATGAATTTTACTTTCTTTCGTTTATTTAGTAAGATTTAAAACCTAGATTCTATAGCTCTCATTTCAAGTTAAAGAACAGAAACAGAATAATTCACTCACATGCTACAAAATATCCTGAGGTCCTTAGGGGTTAGTTCTGCTCAAGTCTATGGGCATTATTGGTAGTACAATGTTGCTAATTCATATATTAAAAGAGGTTTATTATAACTCCCTCAACTCCTATTCAACCAAACTCACAGGAAGCCAGCCATACAAGCACTATTTCCAGGTCTTTTATTAATCACTGACTATAACTGTACTCCCAAAGTGAATCACATTACTTTAAAACAGGAGTGGCCAAGACACCCTTCTTTTTTAATTTGCTGCCACCATTAGAAAAACTTAACTCTTCATTTTCTTTTCAATATATCAAATGAAGTTTTGATAACAACATAGTTATCATGTACTTATGTATTTTAAACTCAAAGCAAAATATTTCATGTTGGGCTTTCTTTAGTGAATTCTCCAGCTGTTTTGCCAGTAAGTTAAGCATAGACTACCTTCCCTAAATTGCTAAAATCAGAGAGTTCACGACAATGGATTACTAAAGAATCTGACTAGGCCTGAGACTACCACTACCAATTTTCAAAATAAACCCTTTGAGATTGTGATTTGCTACTTTGCTTTGTATTTCTTTAAAACCAGAATTTTGTTTTATATAAATGTGAAGTGTTCCTAATGCTTTTTCATCTTAACACTCTTTGTTCAGCATTTATCACTTCTCAAAGAAGTCAGTAGATGATAAAAAATAAAATTACCCTCTCCCCAGTCCACTCCACTCACCTACAAAACGGGCTGGGAATAGTAGGTATCACATAACATATCCCTCCATTCAGGCAAAAGGACCTATGACTGGCACCACAGGGCTCTTCGTGATCTAAAACACACACATACATAAAATAGAGGGAGACAAATTATAGTTTTCCTGATAAAACAAGGAAAACAACTAAGTGTCTTAGACTGAAGTAGCAATTCTAAAAATTAGAATGAAAAATTGTTTGTTAACATGAAGGACTTAATCTTATTCCTTATTTTGATAAGCAAGGACTTCTATTCCCTTGAGGAAAAAAACTAATCTGTCTTGATGATATTAATTATAATGGAGTTATAAGCTACATTACAGAAATACGGGCTCTACATCATAGATTAAAAGGAGGTGATTAGGATCTTTAAATAAATAGTGGTCTTTCACAATTAGGACAGATATTCTGCAGCTTTGCATAAAATTTCTCTGTCCCAAGGGCATATTTAGATTCCTGTCTTTCCTTTAAAGTCTCAGATACATTCAAGTCTGAAATTGCTGTGGGAAACAAAGTTTAGATTATTAAATAAATTCTGATGTCCAAAATTATCTTTAGATATTTATATGTCTATCACAATTTTAACATCAAAAGTAAAGTAATCTATTTAGGTTTTGATTTGCAAGGGGATTTTAGGTAATAGCTAGTAACTAAAAAGATGTATCTGAAGTTCTCAGTAAAATTAAAAACCTAAGTCATTGTTTGATATGTAGCCCAAACTTTCAGAATATAAAGAAAATAAATCTCCATTTCTCTCTGGCTTCCTTTCTCTCCTCTTTCTCCATCTTCCTTCCTTCTTTATCTTTGGCTTTTCCTTTATGCTTCTCTCTTTGCCTTCCCTTTCTCTCTTGGTACCTCTCCTTCCTTCCAGCCTCTACCTCCTCCCTCACCCTTAAAAAAAAAAAACCTTCCTTTTCACTCTTTGTCACCAAAACCATTATACAGAAAAATTTAGAAGTAACCACAGTAGAATTCATTGAGTCATTATATTACTATATGCTACTATTTATAATTAGCAATACAAATTGCTGAATGCTTTATCTTTTAGTCTTGGTAGGAAAATTACATTGCTTTAAAATTGTACATTGTGGATTCCTGATTGTTTCTGTCCAGAAATGACACAGAATCTGCTGTGAAGAAGAAAATGGCATAATTCCAACCTGGCATTTTAAAAAACAGCATACTAATTTAAAAAATTTATCTGATATTTATTTGCCACTAAGATATCATACCTGTTAAGACATAATTGCTATTAAACCAGATGTCTTCATCATCAGAATTTGAAATTTTAAAACTTTCCTTTTACTTTCGAACTGAAAAGAATCTCTTTCACCATCACATTACAACTACAAAAGTATAAAAATGTAAAGAGGGAAACAGAACTACAAAGAATTTAAGTGGAAAAAAAGAAAGTAAACCAACCAGAACTAATCTTTCAGATCTTTTCTTACACAACATAATACCTTTACAACCAAACAACTTTTAGTGAGATAATGCTTACAATTTTTCAGGAATAATTTGGCTAAAAAATAAAATCCCAATTAACATTACATTATATCAGAATCATGAGAGTCATCACATAGGGTTTTCCATTGAGGGTGGAGTGTAACTTTAACACAGAATGCTTCCTATAACTGAAATTAATGTCCTTGTTTTTAACAGGATTATAGAATTGTAACCAGTCATGACTCAACACCTGATATTTCATGAGTAAAGAATACTCATCTAACCTGAACCACTATCTCTGAACCTATTTTTATTCTGATTTCATTTACTTATTTGTAAAGTTGATATCAGATATACAGAGTAAGTTAGAAATTTATCAGTTTGTAAAAAGTGATTAAATACATAAGTCTAAAATAAAATATTTCCATGTTATAAAGGAAGGTCTTTTAAAACCAAGGTATTTCAGATTTCTAGGACAATTTCAGATGGGAAAAATATAGCCTTGTGTAAATAAACATTTGTTTTCTGGTTCTTTTGCTACGTGACACACATTGACAAAAGCATAAACTTACAAGAAATTACCTGTTGGCATCTTAATTTTTAAATAGTTTCATTCTTGGTCAAAAGTTTAGGGTTGAAAAACAGCACCTAAAATTAATAATTTGGGAAAAATTATCTTCTTTTGAGAGCATTATAAAATGTCACATATTCTAACAGTAATATTTTCTTAAATAAGGAAAATAATTAAGAGATTTATATGCTAGTGACAAAATTCTTTGAGCATCTATTTTTTAGATTCTTATTACATATCAATAAAAAAATCTAAACAGATAAAACTAAAAGATCAACAAATAGTATAAAATGCACTACACACACACATCATTGTCTGAATAATGTAATGTAATCTTAAATCTCTCTCTGGAGAAAAGTCTAATGTTTTATTTTTAATAAACATTGTCAATGTAGGTGTACAGCATATGAGATTACATAGGAAAGATATGAGTCAGTAAGTGAAACTGAATGACCTGAATTGACTTTTTACTTTTTCATAAAGCCTATTTCTAATTTGACTTTTCAATAGAGTAACTTTCAATTTTTCAGTTTATTAAAAATGGCCACAGACATACTATAGAAAAAACTTTAACAGCATTGAAAGGGTTGCATTTCTACAGAACCTGTAAAAATTTTATAAAAGTACTTTAAACTTACTGTAGATTGCACATTACATTTGCCAATGTACAGATGCCTTTCTTTTAAAAAAAAATATGTGGCATCTGGTAAAGCGTAGCAGCTATGTGTGACGTTAATCTGCTATAACAGAAATAAAGGAATTACAAAATAAATTTGAAAAGATGAAGAATTTATACTTACATTAGACTATATGCTCTCAATTTCATTTTATAAAGTTAGACTCACTCCCGACTTAAACAGAAAGACTTTGTAACAGAAATCTCAATCAACAAATTCCTATTAACACAGGTGTAATATCAAGGTCTTCTCTCAAAGCCAATCACTCTTTGTTAAACAGACGAGCAATGAGAGAGACAAAGAAAGAGCAATTAAACGTATCTAATTTGAAATAATCACTGGCTTCCTGTATGAGTTTCTTTTTCCAAACAAACAAGGCTTACCTCAGTAAAGACTTACATTCATACAACAGTAAACTTTGTTGGATATGCAGCTTTGCAAAAGTTTTTGAAAACTGCGGACTAGAGCAGCTGTGCCTTCCTTTTGTAACACGTCAAAAGCCTGATTTATGGGGCTGCAGCGTGCAGTGTGGGCGAGGCTGAGACAAAGACCAACATGTGCACAGAGGTCAGGCACCGGCCAAGGGGACCGCCCCTTCCAGTCCACATGTTCAGAGTTGCAAGTGGAACAAAATTTTATTAGAAAAGAAGTTGTACTAAGCTGCACTCTCAAATCGCTGTCCAACTTTTTAAGTTATAAAGTAAACTGCATTTTTTAGACTCCTAACTTAACTTTGCATGTCTAGATAATTCCAGAGTGTTGTAGACCTTTGTGAAGAAAAGAATTTTAATGTGGAGCTAATGGACAAATGTTCCACAGGGTTTTTAAAAAAAGGAATTTCCTTACAAACCATGTAACACTTATATAAATGATGATTTGAAATACTTACAAACCTGAAAGCATAGTCACAATAAAGCACACAACACCATGTTCAATTTGAAGTGAATATAATCACTGAATATGACTAATACTTATGGCAATATAACGATCTGCAAACTATCAAAGCTGTAACGTACGCATGGAGGGGAAGATATGAGGCTTAAAAATCATAAATAACTTAAAATATTGACTAAAACTATAATTGTGTTTAAATGAAGTTCCTAATCATGTAATTACCTAAAGTATGCCAACCATTCAGATGGTTATCTTTTCTAAAACCACAATTCAGATATTACTACTTGATTGATGTAAAACACTGAAGCATACATTTGCTTGTTTAAGAAAATATTAAAATAAACTCATATAATCCCAAATTCTGAAAACAGTTTTCATTACTATCTCCCACATTCAAAGGCAATTTTTACACAGTTACAATCTTATACACACACACACATATATACATACATACATGCACACACATATACAAAATTTTGTTTGGACTTTAAAATGTGAAAAATTAATAACCTTTATTATCTTATTTGAACTACGGAACTGTGATGCTGTCCACTAACATGAAAATGACTACTAAATTGTATGTGAGAGAGAAAAATCTGTGGCTTCATTCAGGATAGTCAAGACGTATTAAGAGACATATCATGGCAGTTGGTTTGGCATTAATAATTTTTTGCACAATACAAATAAACAACCTTTGAGGCGACATGATTCCAAAGACGACGACCCAATGTTTTTCAAGGTAACTTTTCACTCTAAATGAAAGCCTTGGGCTTTAAGAATAATTTATTTGTTCACTCATCTATGAACAAACATGCAGTAAGTGGCTTACTGTCTTTAACAAACGACAGACACACAAACAGGAACAAGCAATTACAAGAATGTTTTAGGCTGACATATAGACCATAGCAGGACTTAAAAAAACTACAGTTTCATGCCATTCAACCTAATAATTCTCACAGACACCTATTTCTGTCACTGTATTAACACTTACAAAAACAAATCTTAACTATTAAGGAGAATCAGAGAAAGATTCCAAGAGGGAGTAATTAGTTCTGCTGAGCTTTGAGGAATGAATGAGAGCTTGCCAGCAGAGACGGATGAACATTCCAGACAGAGGCAACAGCATGTTCAAAGACACAGAAGGAAGAAAATCCTTTATGTATTCAGATAGTTGCAGGGGGATTTCAGGTGAGGACGTGCGCAGTGTATGTGTGTGGAGTGTGTGTGGGTTCGTAGGAGGACGGGATGGTGGGGGAAAGAGTGACAAGAACAGATGCTGTAAAATAAGCAGGGACCAGATGGTAGACCTTATCTTCAAGGCAATGGAGACCTTTTGAGAGGTTTTTAGCAAAGGCGTGACATGATGACATCTGCACTTTAGAAAACTCATTTTGACAGCAGTGTGGAAAACGGAACGTATCAGAGAAAGCAGTTTGGAGGTCATTTTAATAATCAAGAATAATGAATAAAGCAATGGGAATGAGGGTAAAGGAGAGAGAGGATTAAATATATACTTAATAGGTCCATCCACAGAATGGGAGAGCAGCGTACAAAAGAAGGAAAAAATATCAAGGCTGACTGGCAAGTATCCATTAGGGAAACGTACATTAAAAACCACAGTGAGATACCATTTCACACCTAGAATGGCTATAATAAAGATGACAGACAATAACAAGCACTGACAAGAATACAGAGAAACTGGAACCCTCATACGTTGCTGGTGGGACTGTAAAATGGCACAGCCACTTTGGACAATAATTTGATAGTTTCTTAAAAAGTTAAACATATATTGGTGATACATGTATCCTAGAGAAATGGGAATACAGATCCACACAAAAACATGAGTGTTATAGCTAGAACATTACTAACAATGCCCCAAACTAGAGAACAACTCACATGTCCATTAACTGATGAATGGACAAACAAAATGTGGTATAACCATGCCATGGAATACTATTCAGCAATAAAAAGGAGTGAAGTATTAGTACATGTTACAACATGAATGAACTTCTAAAACACGCTAAGTGAAAGAAGCCAGTCACAAAAGTCACACGTTGTATGATTCCATTTACATGAAATCTTTAGAAAAGGCAAATCAATACAGACAGAAATAGATTAATGATTGCTTGGAAGTGGGGCTGGGAAAAGAAAATGACTGCAAATGAGCAAAACGGATCTTTTTAGACGGATGGAAATGTTCTAAAATTGGGTTGTTGAGGTGGCTGCAAATTTGATGTCACTGAATTATACAGCTAAAATAGGTGAATTTTATGGCATATAAATTATACTTCAATATAGCTGTTTAAAAAGGAATACTGAAACAGATTTCATGAGTAAGATAACGATTTCTATTTGGACACGTTAAATTTAAAGTGCTGCTGGGACGTGTAGAAGGAAACGTCTGAAGATGCAGATCTCGCATGAAGGATAACCACCAGGTTAGAGAGACGAGATCTGGGACTCAAATTCCACAGGAGGTTGTTGAAGCCATTTATGTGAATGAACTAGCTCAGAGTGTGCGTGTGTCGTGTGAGCAGAGGCCATGAACTGATCCCTGGAAAATACCAACATTTAATGGTTGGAGAAGGAACCCGTTTAGAAATTATCAGAGAAATAAGAGAACAAATGTAACCAGTGGCACACTCTTCTTCCATAATTCAAAATGCTGATCTTCTCCATTTCTAGATTTGGCACTCTGGACAACATCAGACTCCCAGCTATGAAAGATGAGGTTTCAGCTCTCTCACACTGCCATCCACCTCTTTAATTCGAATGTCTGGTAAGTTACACTATCCTTATTTCTCCTCTCGGTTACATCTGCAATTTTAAATAATATACTCACACTGCTATGTCTTCGTCAGTGAACTTGACTGACTTCACAGACTGACTCCACACCATGTACAGTGAGTGACTGCACTGCTCAGTTTGCTTCCACCCTTCCGCCCTTTCTCTCCCTCCTTGTACCCATTCTTGACTCTTAACATCGGGAAAGTTTCTAACAGTTACATTCCGGTCTCTGACCCTAAGGAAGGGACAAAAGGCTTCCTGGTTCCCAGGTCTACTTCTCCAATCCGGCCTTTACACTGTGTATCAGGGTTCATCTTCTTCCCGGGCACAAGCCCTCTATTTACCAGGATGGTGGTTCCCAGGTCAGTGCAGCGGAAGGGAGAGCCAAGGCAGGCACCAGCCAGCAAGGAGAGCCAGGCAGCTGGCCTCCTGAGCTTCCCGGGCGGGGCCCTCTACAGTCCACGGCATCAGGTGCAGCAACTTGGAGTGGTCAGGGTGCCTTCTGACCTGCACTGGCCTGTGTTCAAGACGTTTCAGTTCCACTGAAGGATGGGCTGGGCCATAATTCTAGTGATCAATTTTGCCTTCCTCTTCTGATGCTGGACCTGCCATGTTCCTAGGCCAAAGGCAGTAACAGGAATGAGAAGCAGAAACCACTAGAGAAAAAAATCATCCTCCGTTTCTGTGGCAATTGCTTCGGCTAAAGAGCTGCCAAGCCTGCTGGGCCGCCAGGCCAGCTCCGAGGAGGCACATGCAAACTGCGGTGATGGGTTGCGCTTTCCTTTAGGGTCCCAGACACCTGGGTTTCAGTCTTGCATTGACCCCACATTAGCCAGAGGAGGTGCAGGGAGATACTGCACGTCTACGGCCAAGTATGCAATACAGGAGTGCGGGAGGAGCCGGCCCAGGCTGCCGTGAGGACAGATTGCTCACCAGAGCAGGTACGCAACCGCGTCAGACTCAGAGGCAGGTGCAGTTCCAGAGACTGCAATGTCCACAACCACCGTCCCCCTCCCTGGAGGGGAAGTGGAGGGTGGGGACAGGGCGGCTTTTCCTAGGTGCCTAGGGCACACCTGGACGAGTCCTCATACAAACGGCCAACAGGTATATGAAACAGTACTCAACACTACTAATCAAGGAAATGCAAATCAAAACCACTTTGCAACACCACCTCCCACCTGTTAGGATGTCTGTTATTAAAAAGACAAGAGATAAGAAATGCTGGTGAGGATGTGCAGAAAAGAATACCCTTGTACACTGCTGTTGGGAATGTAAACTGGTGCAGGCCGCTATGGAAAACAGTATGGAGACTCCTTAAAAAATTAAAAATGGAACTACCATATGATCCAGCAACCCCACCTCTGAGTATATGTCCAAAGGAAACAAAATCATTGTCTGGACGAGACATCTGTACTTCCATGTTCATCGCAGCATGATTCACAACAGCCAAGATATGGAAACAACCTAAATATGTCTGCTGATGATGAATGGGTAGAGATTATGACCATATACACACATAAAGCATTTTATTCATCATAAAAGGGAAGGAAATCTTGCCATTAGCAACACGGATGAACTGGAGGCCTTTATGCTAAGTAGAATACGTCAGATAGAGAAAGACAAACACTGCATGGCATCGCTTATATGTGGGATCTTAAAACAATTTTTTTGATTAAAAAGTCAAACTCATAGAAACACAGAATGGTGGTCGCCAGAAGCTGGGGTGGGGGAAGTGAGAGGCTGGTAAATGAGCACCAACTTTCAGTTATAAGGTGAATAAGGTCTGAGGATCTAATGGACAGCATGGTGACTATAGTTGGTAACACAGTACTGTATAACTTAAATTTGCTGAGAGCAGAACTTAAGGGTTCTCATTTTTTAAAAAAGAGAATATTTTTTAAAAAATATGAGGTGATGGATGTGTTGACCTGATTTTGAAAATCCTTTTACAATGTATATCATCACATTGTACACTTTAAGTATATTATAATTTGTCAATAATGCCTTCATAGAGCTGGAAAAGAAACTCTGCTCTACAAAAGGCACTGTCAAGAGAATAAGAACACAAGCCACAGACTGGGAAAAAATATTTGCAGGAGACATACCTGATAAAGGACTGTTATCCAAAATATATACAGAATTCTTAAAACTCAAATAAGAAAATGATCAACCCACTTAAAAAATGGGCAAAAGGCCCTAAAAGACATCTCACCAGAGAAAGTACACAGATGGTAAATAAGCATGAGAAAAGATTCTCAGCATCGTATGTCATCAGGGAATTGCAAATTAAAACAAGATACAACTATACACCTATAAGAAAGGTGAAAATCCAGAACACTGACAACAACAAACGTCCCTGAGGAAGTGGAAGAGCAGCAACTCTTAGTCATCACTAGCGGGAAGGCAGAAGGGGACTGTAGCCAACTGGACGACAACCTGGCAGTTTCTGCCAAAACTAAACACAACTCTTACCATAAGGTCCAGCCATCACATTCCTTGGTATTTACCCAAAGAAGCTGAGAACTTATGGCCACACAAAAACCTGCACACTGATGTTTACAGTAGCTTCACTCATAATTATCAAAACCTTGAAGCAACCAAGATGTCTTTCAGTAGAAAAACAGATAATTAAACTGCGGAACATCCAGACCATGGAATATTATTCAGTGCTGAAAAGAAATCCATTATCAAGCCATGAAAAGACAGAGAGATCCCTAAAGGCATGTTACCAAAGGAAAGAAGCCAACCTGAAAAGGCTACATACTGTAGATTCCAATTATATGACATTCTGCAAAAGGCAAAACTATGGAGGCAGTAAAAAGATCAGCAGTTGCCAGGAGTTATAGGGGAGGGAGAGGTGAACAGGCAGAGCACAGAGGATTTTCAGAGCAATGAAAAATACTCCAAGGCTGTTATAATGGTAGACACACGCCCCTATACATTTGTCAAAACTAAGAGAATATACACCACCAAGAGTGAACCCTAATGTAAACCACGGGTTCTGAGCAATCACGATGTGTCAATATGATACTGATAGTTGGGGAGGCTGTGTGTGTGTGGAAGCAGGAGACATAGGAACTCTCTGTACTTTCTGCTCAATTTTGCCCTGAATCTAAAACTGCTCTAAAAAATAAAATCTATTAGGAGAAAAAAAAGGAATTGAAGAGAAGGCTGGACTGGAACAAGGGAGTTAGCCCTTATCAGAAACTGTCTTCTCCAAGTCATACTTGATCTCCGGTTTGCAAGAGGGCTAGAAATAACTGCAACTTTAAAAGGGCAGACAATTTCTAGAATTCTTTCTTGGGAACCCTAAATTATAGCACTAAAAACCTCAAGGGTGAAACATCTAAAGAGAGTGAACAGCATCCAAATATCCAGAGTCTGCATTAAGAAGCACTGGGCTTATAACTTAAAAGTATGCAACAGCAGCATTCTGAATTCAGTACTATTACCAATGAGATGTTTATAATTAATCAAAAAAAACTGCTGAAGATAAGCACTTGTTCAGGCCAAAATGAAGCTTCCTCATAATTCAGCACTTGAACTGGACGAATTTTTGACTCCCGAAAGATTTTATTCTTAGTATTCAAACTGAAGAATACTGTTTTCATATTCAATGCCATAGATATAGCACAAGCAGAGATGTCAAAGTAATGCAAATTACTGATCCGAATTCACCCTAAGAGCAAAACACGTGAAGCACCCTAGTTGATTGTAGCTTAAAGGTGCTGTACTCCAAGTTCCACTCTATTTCTGAACATTCTCTCCCTTGGAGACCTAATCCATTCCCTAGCTTCAATTATTTCTCTTGAGAAAAAAACTCTTTTTTTTACTTACAGCCCTAATCACTCTCATAAGCTCCACTTTTTAACTCTTACATACAAAAGTCCCATTGCTACTTAAATTCAAAATACATAATTCAAAAACAAGTATTTACTGAATCCCTACTGTGTACCAGACAATAAAGGATACACAAAATAATTAAACCATTTTCCACTCTTAAGGAACATAGTCTAGTCGGTGAGCAACATGAGAAGTTCAACAACAGTAAATGTATAGCCATTCAAGGTAATATCTATACACTGGATATACATGAATTATACAAACAGTTAACTGTTACAGTATTTTGCTGTAACATTACTGAGAGGTTCCCAATCTTCCATCATTTTACACTAATAGAAAGAAAATCCCCCCAAATCTTTGCGACTTTGGAGAAAGCAAAGATTTCTTAGACAGAACATAAAAAGCATGAACCATAAAGGAAAAAAAAGGATAAACTGGACTTAATCAAATAAAAACTTTTGCTCTTTGAAAGGCACCATTAAGACAATGAAAAGGCAAGCCACAAAGTGGGAGAAAATATTTCCTATAAATGTATCTAAAAAAGGGTTTGCATTTTATGTTTATCTATTTCATGTTTTTATATATGTAATGAACGCTTCCAACTCAATAGTAAGACAGCTCAATTAAAAGATGGACAAAAAATGTGAAGTCGTTTTACCAAAGAAGAAGATATGTGCATAGTTAGTAAGTACATGCTCAGCGCCGTTAGTCATCAGGCAAAGGCAACTTAAAAGCACAATGAAGATCTACATCTCTGTTAGAATGCCTAAAGTTAAAAAGGCTGGTCAGCCTACCAGACGCCAGTGAGGATGTGGAACAACTGTTAACTCTCATCGTCACTAGCGGGAATGTAAGGCAATAGAAAGACTTTGGGAAAGAGTGTGACAGTTTGTTAGAAATTTAAGGCAACACCTACTGTGGTAGAAAGCCTTTAAGGTGCACCCCAATGACCTCCCTTTCCTAACACACGCTTGTATCATCTTCTCCCCTTCAGTGTGGGCTGGACTTACTGACTCACTTCTACAAAACAGACATGGCGGGAGAAATGGCATGCTGCTCGCAAGACTAGATTATAGATTTTGTGGCTTCTGTCTTAGGTGCTCTCTTGTTTCCTCTTTCAGATTGCTTTTCTCTGGGGGGACCCCGCTGCCACGTCATGAGGCAGCCCTGTGGAGGGGCTGGCATGACGAGGAACGGAGGCCTGAC